CTTTTAACTATTCATTCTCTACCATCCACATCTATGTCACAGGGTTGTTGTGAAAAATGGAAGGAGGGAGCAATATGCATACCACCTTTAGCTCCTAAATAAAAGGCGAGACACAAATATAATAGATAAATAATAAGCCTTTAGCTAGGTTTAAGCAACCACCCCTGGAGAAGAATTGGTCTGGATATGCTTGGATCCTTACAACCCTAGCAGTTGTAGGATGTGCTCATTGGCTGTTTCCTTCCTCACCACCTGCTGCTTATGACTCCTGCTCATTCAGTCATGAAGCCCAAGTGGAGATGGATATAGAGGGTTTGCATGTAGCAATCCCATCCTGCAAAAGCCTTCCCCACCCTACAGCATTGCCCTCAAGCTGGCATTAAATCAGGTCTTGCTTTTTTCCCTGAAACCAGGCCATGGGTCACCTTCTTAAGGAGATAAGAACCCCTTACCTGGGCCTGCTGGCAAGTCTCAGCAGATAGCCAATGGAGTTCTTTTTCTTTGCCTGTGTTGTTCTTTCAAATCGGATGGTGGCTTTGCTCTTTAAAGAGAAGCATGCAGAAATTCTTGTTGCTGTTTTTCTTCCCCTCCCAGAGTAGCTGATCAGGCCCTTCTGGGGCTTCAGTACTGACCTACCTGGGCCATGCTTGGCTCAGGAACTTTATTACTTATGAGCTACAAGGTAAAGCTGCTTAGGTTAATTAGCCTCAAGGTTGCACTAATCTCCAACTCTGGAACTGGTGCAGGAAAAGAGATTAGCTAGCACATTTTCCCCTGGAATCTTCCTCTAGCACTGGGGAAATGCCTGTCCCTTGAAATGTTTCATCTTCACACCATACAGCTGTGAATGTCCTGTAACTGAGGACTACTCTCCGTTTCCTTGTGGCTATGTGTGTGCCGGTTCTTCATACACCAGGAAAAACTTACCGCATGTGAAATCCAGCTTCCTGTATACTTCCCTCTTGCCTTGATAATTAAAATGAAAATCAAATAGAGCTCTTGGCTGGGACTTAAAGACCCCATGGAATTGTTGACAAGGAACGTTTGTCAATCATGAGCAGGCTGAGTTACTCTCTTATTACAGAAGCTAAATTAAAAGGTAGTGCTTAGCAATGCTTGCCTTGTATAACATACATGGGCTGCAAACATCCTGGATGAGGAGCAATGTAAACATAGGGGATGATGAAATGCCATCTATTTACTATTTTTAGCATGCACCACTTCCCTTTTTAAAGTACAGTATTTGAGGTGGTTCACCATTTTAAATCATGGCTTAGAATATGCTTGTATTTAACAGCTTATCTTCTAGCTGATCAGGGATATCTGCAGGGTGTGGTCAAAATATTCAAGATGGCTGCCACAACAGTGTGATTGAGGGCTGAGATGGATAAACTGGCTTCTTTGATTAGAGAAAGGACAATATCTACATTTATTGGTGGCTGGAAACTCCTTATGGACTTTTTGCATAAAGATGAAAAAAAATGAACTTGTGATTTGTGGTTTTGATTAAACAGGGTAGGTTATAGAAAGAAGAGAGTCATGATGTACCTTTAGAGAGAGAAGTTAAAATATAGTTATAACTGCTGTGAAGAATATTGGAAGCCATGTCTTTATAACTTTCTTTATATATTTCTCTTTTTTTCTTATTTTTCCTACTTTTTTTTCTTAATGCACTTTTAGCTTTTTCTGTTATTTCTCTCTTTCTTTTTTGTTTTCTCTGTTCTATTTTAGTTTGTGTTAGTTTTTATTACTGCTGTTAAAACTTTTAATAAAAATTATATTAAAAAAACAACAGTGTGATTGAGGCTTTGTCTATTTTTTATGTATGACATGCATTAAAAAAGGTGCAGCTTCAACCCCACTGTTGGGGTGGTCATCTTGACTTTTTTGACCAGATGCTGCTGACACCCTTGCAACCTGTGATCCCATGCAGGCAAGTAAACAGCTGGCAGAGAAGGGGGCTCTTTCTGCCCTCTTCCATATCCAGCATGCAAATGCATTGGGCTGGTAGAGGAGTGATCTATATATTTTCTAACAAGTCCATTCAGTAAAGGTTGTTTTTAAAAGAAGATCTCAAAGCGGTTAGTTGCTTGCATTCTTATGTTGGGTGCAGAGAAAAGAAGTTCCTATTCTTTGCAGTTAGTGTGAAAATACAAGCAACTCGCTTTCTAGTACCACTGCAGAAATACAGGATAGCATTTTTGTGTGCTTATTTAATAGACATTATTAGTTTAGTATATAATAGACAAAAGGGTAGAGAATGTCCAGACTCCAATGGGGAATCTATGGCCCTCCAGAGGTTGGTTGATTGATTAATGAATTATGTGCCATCAAGGGAGGGCTGACTGTTAGTGGCTACTTAGCTAGATCTTTTCCAGGATGTTCTGTCTCCAGCCTGGCCATTCAGGTCTTCCATCAGTGCACCCATTGCTGTTGCTGGACATCCTCTTCTTTTCTTTCCACCTTTTCCTGAGTTATAGATTTCTCAAGACACTCTGGATCAGTGTTTCTCAATCTTGGCAACTTTAAGATGTGTGAACTTTAACTCCCAGAATTCTACTCAATCCTGGGAGTTGAAGTCCACACATCTTAAAGTTGCTAAGGTTGAGAAACACTGCTCTGGATGTTGCTGGATTACAATTAACAGCATCCTTGCTGTTGGCTCTGCACAGTAACATCCGAGGGCCAGACATTCACTATCCCTGATTTAAAGCATCACTGCCTGCTCTTCAGCTAAGAAGGATTCCAGGGTAGATGATCGTGTTTAATAATAACTC